TTTGAAGACAGATGTTTTTTTTTGGCATTAAAGCAATAAATAAACGGAAATGTTTGTTCCGTCCTTCACGGTGGGCCCAACAGCTATTTTTTTAGAAGACCCGGAACATAGTCAGGAATACTTTTCGAACTTATCTCTACAGAAATAATTGTCCAAAAAGGTCGAACGACCCGCGTAACGAGCTGCTTGACGCAGGCTTTCTTCATTGGTTTGCCGCCAAGTCCGTGCGGGCTACGAGACCTGGTATTTCCTGGTTCTCTCAACGGAAGATAATACAAAACGGGTAAGGATCCTTAAAAAACAAATATATCAAACCTTTCAAAAACTTTCGGCAAACTCCCAGGCACATTAGGTGGTTGCGAGTTGCGCTGACCAGGTTTCCACAGCTTAGAAGGATGACAGACATTTCTGGCTGATAGGGGTCGTCCGGTTCGCAGAATGAAGAATCCGCAACGCTGTTTTTCTTTAAAGCACGCGGTTGCTCGAATAACTTGAACGCCGATCGAAGCCGCGCACGAGAATTTTTCACTTCTAAAACGTCACAAATATGATGGGCTAAACTCGTAAACATCTGTCTGTGGAAATGACGAGAACGATATCAAAGGGGCGTGGGAAGAACTGACGTTTGTGCGATTCACAACTAGCGCAGACTTTCTTGGTTTTGGTTTCAATTCGGGTTTTGGCGTGACTGACACGCATTTGCTACTGTTCCTCATTCCGTATGAGTATGCGGTTGAGGTCGCTGAGTCGCGATCGCCGAGTATGAAAGCAGATTGGCAAACCTTTCCCAAAGTTTCATTTGTATTTAAATAAAAATCAGCGCTTTGACTGAAGCGCTAGGACAGTAAAACGATGTAATTTACACCGTGTAAATGCTCCTCGAATTTTCTTTGTCTTGCGAGAAACACAGATATTCGGCAACAATTTAAGAAAGGCCACGAATTTCATCAGCGCTCCACTGCTTTAAGGTCATGAATGGGCAAACTCTTGTGTTGCTGAAAAATCATAGCGCGGGAGCGGTATACCAAAATATGAGCACACACACGCTACGGCGCGAATTCTATTTGGATCGCGATAAGTTACCTCAAGGCCCACGAGGGAGGCGTCGGCGCACCTCAGCTCGGAACTCGTATAGCGAAAGCTCGCCCAGCAGAACCCAGGGATCCCAGGTTCAATACCCACTCCTGCTCATTTACGGCGGTGACCTCGGCCGGTATATGGATATAATGGACAAAAAAACTGCTCCGACTTTACCCAACAAAATTAACAATTTAATCTAACGTTTCGTCTCCCATGCGGGAAACATCGTCAGTGAAACCTACAAGCAGGAATGAGGGAAAAAACTTCAACAGTCCTATTTAAGCAAGTCCGCGTACACATGGGGGGGGGGGGGGGGGGGGCGCGGTTGGAATTGCAAGCTGATGAGTCACTTCGGATGAACCATGATTCCACGAACCTGCGTGGACCCCACCTTTGTTCGCGCGCCAGAGTGGACGCATTCTCAAAGTCGAAACAGTGACCCGTATTCCAACAATGGCCTACGAGTTCTGTCTTCGCTCTTGTCGCATGAGTGGCCTTCGCCACGTCCCTTTTGTGTTCGTTTAAGCGAGTGCAGCGCTTCCGGCCTGTCTCCCCAATGTAGGATGCGTCACAGTTTAGTCAGTTCACTTTATACACAACACCGCACTGGGACTCTGGGGGGTGTAATCTTTAGGTTTAGAAATGAGGTCGCGTAGTTGACGGTGGGGTTTGAAAGCAGTGCGGATATTCAAAGGGGCGAGGGCCCTGCGAATGGACTCAGGACCGCCTCTCAAATAGGGTATTGTTACTTGACCTGTCCTAAGTCGTCCATTATCCTGACTTCTTCTTTGCCCCATCTGTTTGCGCGTGTTATCAATAAAGCGTTTCGGATAATTCCGCTTCATCAACAGGTCAACAATAACAGCATCCTCAGAAGCGCGCAATTGAGGATTAGAAGAAATGCGTTCGGACCGATGTAGTAAGGGTTTTACGACATCCCTTTTATGTTCGACAGAATGGTGCGAGTTGTCGAACATAAAATGTCTGTCGTAGAAACCTTACTACATCGGTCCGAACGCATTTCTTCTAATCCTCAATTGCGCGCTTCTGAGGATGCTGTTATTGTTGACCTGTTGATGAAGCGGAATTATCCGAAACGTTTTATTGATAACACGCGCAAACAGATGGGGCAAAGAAGAAGTCAGTATAATGGACGACTTAGGACAGGGCAAGTAACAATACCCTGTAGCAGCTAGCCAACGATGGCACCACTGGAAGAAGAGAAAGATACGACGGACACGGGGCACGAGAGAATAAAAAGCATTCATTCCGAATCGCCATTCTGGCTGATGCGTGCTGCTTCGTACATGGTGGCAGCGGCTAAACTTATCGTGAGCGAGGCACGTAAGTCACCAGCCTATGCAGGAAGCCAGAACTGACAACAGTGGCAACGCGACCTAGGACCGCGAAGGGCGCCCACGAGAGCAGACAGCGAGCATCATGACCTGTCTGTTGCCCCCGCCGAAGCAGCTAGACCTAACCGGCGAGCCTTGGAATACATGGAAAACGTGGATCACGGAATTTGAACTCTTTGCGGTGGCAACGCACCTGAAGGACCAGCCAAGCAATGTTCAAGCCGCAACGCTCCTCGTCTGCATCGGAGAGGAAGGTAGGCGGATTTACAGCACCTTCACATTCGAAAACGATGCCGACAGACAGAACATACAAGTTCTGAAGGACAAGTTTGAGCAGCACATGAAGCCAGCTATAAACCTAACGTACCACGAATTTGTTTTTGGAAAGAGAGATCAAAAAGACGGAGAGAAATTCGATGAGTGGTTGACCGAGCTAAGGATCCTCGTGCGAAACTGCGAGTACGGTGTTGTCGAACAACGCATGTTGAGAAGCCGAATAATACTCGGGACTAAAGACAAGCAGCTACAGCGAAAGCTTATCAACGACAATCCCACTTTTGCGAAAGTACTCGAAATGTGCCGAACAAAAGAACGAACGCAGGAGCAGTTCAACAAAATCCGCAAAGAGTATGACCAAAATGAGGATGACCGAAGTGAGGACCCACCAGGAATACAGGCGCTGCGAAAAGACCAAGCGACATGCCGCTGTTGTGGTTTCGTACACCGCACGAGCGCATGCCCGGCTACAGGAAAGCAATGCCTTAGCTGTGGCAAAGTTGGACATTTTGCAAAATGCTGCAGCAAAGGCCCACAGTCATCTAACAGCCGACAGCAGCGCCAAGGAAAAAGAGGAAGAGAATACGACCACAAAGTCCGCCAAGTTGAGAGCGACGACATTGACGAAAGCGATGAAGACTATCTGCTCTGTCACCTAACAGTTAACAGAATAGACAAAGAAGACCGCTGGAGTGAGACAATACAGTTCGAAAAAGACCGCCTACGCTGCAAGCTCGACACAGGAGCAAATTGCTCCGTAATCCAAAGGAGATTACTCAGCTTGATCTCAAGTAAAAAAGTCCGCAAGTGTGACACTACACTGTCATCGTTCTTTGGCCACAAAGAAAAAGCGTTTGGAAGAGTTACCCTGAAAGTGTCAACTGGAGCCTCAACGACCCAAGAGGAGTTCTTTGTGGTCAAAGATGATGTACCAGTGACACTGGCGGGAGAGCTGAGTGAGTGGCTCGGATTGATCAGACGCATAGCTACAGTCACAGAAGGACCCAACGAGGCGACAAAGGAAACAGCTACAAGCTTGAGCGATCCTACGGGACCATATGCAGATGTCTTCCTTGGACTTGGAAATGTCAGGGGCTTTACATACAACATGAAAGTAAACCCTGGTAGAAAAGGTATTGTACGCCCAGCAAGAAAGGTACCGGTGGCTCTCCAGGAGAAGGTCAAGCGCGAGCTACATAGAATAGAGAAAGAAGGGGTAATTATGAAAGTCAAGGAGCCGACCGAATGGTCCAGCTTCAGGGTAGTTGTCCCAAAGAAAGACAAAGAGCGCATCTGCATGGATCCAGTAGAATTGAACAAAGCTCTGAGAAGAGAACACTACCCAATGGCTACAATGGATGACATCGCCACCCGAATTGCCGGAGGGAAAGTGTTTTCGGCTCTGGACGCATCTTCTGGGTTTTGGCAAATAGAACACGACGAAGAGAGTTCGAAGTTGTGCACAATGAGTACTCCCTATGGGAGGTACAGGTCCAAAAGGATGCCCTTTGGGATAAGCACAGCTCCTGAAGTTTCTCAGCGCGTCATGAACGAGATTTTGGAAGACCTCCCCGGAACAGCAGTTGTGATGGACGATATACTAGTCTGGGGTAAAACCCAGCAAGAACACGATGAAAACATTAGGCGCCTGCTGCAACGCTGTCGAAATGTGAACCTACGACTGAACCCGAAAAAGTGTCAATTTGGCAAGACAGAAGTTCGTTATCTCGGGCAAGTACTAACCGGAGACGGCATCACCGTGGATCCAGACAGGATCCAAGACATCCTGGAAGTGAAAGAACCTAGAGATCCCAAGGAACTTCGAACATTCCTTGGAATGATCACATACCTCCCTAACTTCATACCACGACTTTCGGAGCGAGCAGCACCGCTGCGGGAACTGCTAAAGAAGGAGAGCGCGTGGGTATGGACAGAACAACAGCAAAGAAGCTTTGAAGACCTGCGGGATGCCTTGACAAAAGCACCAGTGTTGGCATACTACACACCAGGAAAGCCCATAACGCTCTCAGTCGACGCAAGTCAATACGGCGTGGGAGCCGTTATCACCCAGGAAGGAAAGCCACTAGCGTATTCGTCGAGATCCCTGACAGCAGAGACAAAGTATGCGCAAATCGAGAAGGAGTTGCTTGCTATTGTTCACGGATGTACCAAGTTTCACCATTACATATTCGGACAGCCGTGTGTAACAGTAGAATCGATCACAAGCCGTTGCAAGCTATTTTCACCAAACCACTGCATCAGTGTCCGATGAGACCCCAACGAATGAAGATGGCTCTCCAGAAATACTCGTTGCAAGTGAAGCATATACCGGGGAAAGAACTGCTGCTAGCAGACGCACTTTCACGTTTTCCCGCTAAGGAAACACTGGAAGAAGAGGAAAAGTTCCGAGTAAACGCGCTAGAGCACATACCAGTTCCTCAAGACCGCCTTCAAGAAATCCGAGAGGCAACCGCAAGTGACGCACAACTGCAACTGCTGCGTCAGTATGCGCGGACTGCATGGCCGGAAGAGAAAGACCAAGTGCCGCAACTTGGAAGGCCTTTTTGGTCATACCGGAAGGAAATCTATGAAGAAGATGGACTTGTACTCCGATCGAACAAGCTAGTTATACCTACAGCTATTAGGCAAAAGATCATCAACCTGCTGCACGCAGCACACGCAGGCAAGGAGAAGATGAAAAGAAGAGCTCGAGATATCCTGTTTTGGCCAGGAATCAACGCTGACATCGAGGGCAAGTACGACAACTGCAGCATATGTCAAAAGTACAAGCCCAGAAATGTCAAGATGCCACTCTTGAGTCATGGGGTGCCAGCACTGCCTTGGCAGTATGTTAGTGTGGATTTCTTTACTCATCAAGGACGGGATTTCATAATCATGTTGGACTGCAACTCATTTAACTTCGAGGTCGAAGAAATGAAAACCACCACAGCTTCCAAAGTTAAAGAGTTTTGCTTGAAGGCCTTCGCAACACACGGACTCCCTTCAAAACTTTTAAGTGATAATGGCCCGCCGTTTGGGAGCCACGACTTCAAAAAGTTCCTGAAAAACTTGAAGATCGAGCAAGTAGCTTCAAGCCCTTACCATGCCCGATCAAATGGCATGGCCGAACGAGCCGTGAGGCAGGCGAAACAATTGCTGAGAAAAAGTGCAAACACGGAAGAGTTTTACTATGCACTTCTTGAATGGCGCAACACTCCACGAGACGAGGTCCTCCAATCACCAGTACAAAGATTGATGAGCCGGCATACAAGAACGCTGTTGCCCGCCAGGCTTGAACATTACCTACCTGTTACCGTACCGCCCGAAGCCGTCACACAACGCCTCACATAAATAAGGCAACAACAGAAGGCTAGCTATGACAAGTCCTCTCGAGCACTAGCAGATATTGAAACAGGTTCTCAAACTACCGTCTATAACAGCCTCAAGCATACGTGGTCACCTGCAATAGTAGTGGGCCATTCTACATCAAGATCCTACAACATTCAGACCCCGGAAGGACAAGTGCTTCGGAGGACACGCGAACACTTAATCCCAGTGGCACAATCCCACCAAAAGACGACCTCCGAGGTTACAGAGCCAGTAAACGAGGGCCTAGTTAAGTCTGAGCCGCGCCTGCTGATTCGAAGAGGAACAAGGGATAGAAGACCACCACAACGATATGGAAATGACCACGATATTTAGATTTACACAGATCTCTAAACTCGTTTTTTTTTCTGAGAAAGGAGATGTAGCAGCTAGCCAATGATGGCGCCACTGGAAGAAGAGAAAGATACGACGGACACGGGGCACGAGAGAATAAAAAGCATTCGTTCCGAATCGCCATTCTGGCTGATACGTGCTGCTTCGTACATACCCTATTTGAGAGGCGTTCCTGAGTCCATTCGCAGGGCCCTCGCCCCTTTGAATATCCGCACTGCTTTCAAACCCCACCGTAAACTACGCGACCTCATTTCTAAACCTAAAGATTACACCCCCCCTGAGTCCCTGTGCGGTGTTGTGTATAAAGTGAACTGTCTAAACTGTGACACATCCTACATTGGGGAGACAGGCCGGAAGCGCTGCACTCGCTTAAACGAACACAAAAGGGACGTGGCGAAGGCCACGCATGCGACAAGAGCGAAGACGGAACTCGTAGACCATTGTTGGAATACGGGTCACTGTTTCGACTTTGAGAATGCGTCCACTCTGGCGCGCGAACAAGGGTGGGGTCCACGCAGGTTCGTGGAATCATGGTTCACTCGAAGGGACTCATCAGCTTGCAATTCCAACCGCGGCCCCCTCCCCGATGTGTACACGGACTTGCTTAAGTGGGGACACTGGCTAGAGGTCGAACTTTTGAACTACTCAAGTGATCGGAATGAAATTTGCAGGGGAGATTAAACTTCAGACGTAGGTGTACTGTGCATACGTTCAACTCTCTAGGACAAATTTACATACCTATATAAGTTGATGTGTCACTCTTCGTCAAGAAATCTATGATATGCAAATGGAGCTATTAAGCACCGTTTTGACTGCTTGAATATAAAGTGAGGGATATGGGACTTCGGGCTATCTAGTTTTAATAACTTAAATGTAAATATTTCAGGAAGAGTTATTACCTCAAAATATGAGATGCCTATCTGTCCTATGTCAATTTTTGAAAACCTAGTTTTTTTATCACTGAGGACTTCATCTTTAAACAAAATAAAGTAGATAGCCCAATTCCCTCCTAAATTTCAGTGCAGAAACATGTTGACTGTGGTATCAAAATAATTACACCTTCGAACAAAAGATTCCCTCGTATGAAATTTGCAGCAAAAAGTGGAACTGAGAAAAATGCATTCAAATATTGAACTCCTTTACTTCGTTAGTGCTTCACAATGTGTTGAAGATATTTTATATCAACATAACTATTAGGCATATGGTTATCAAATTTAGTGTAGGGGTATATAATTGATTTCTAAAGCCGAAGACCCCGAAATTGGAAAATGAATTTTTTCAAAAAAATTTAGAATTTAGGCTCATTTCCCCCCTTAAATAGGACTGCTGAAGTTTTTTCCCTCATTCCTGCTTGTAGGTTTCACTGACGATGTTTCCCGCATGAGAGACGAAACGTTTGATTAAATTGTTAATCTTGTTGGTTAAAGTCGGAGCAGTTTTTTTATCATTATGATTCCCGGCTTTTGGAATATTTTTGGATATGATGGAGCATCCCGGTTCACTCTGAATCCCTTATGCGTACACGTTGCACATCACTTTCTTGGTTTGTTGTGAGGACTTTAGGTTTTCAAACATTGTGAAAATCCTTTGGGGTGAAGAAAGGGCGAGCTTACAGATGGTACCGGCGATACGCAATACTGACAATACCCGACGCGCACGAAAAAGACACTATGTTTTTTTCTGCACAGAACTAGGAGACCACCGGTGAACTCAAACCAAGAATCTGCGACAGGGCTACAAAACAAATGCCACACGTTTGGGTCATCATGACTAATATTATGGTTATATTTTGGAAGTAGGGCTAAAATTACAATTTTATATATACTTTTTATGGGTTAAGTTACACCGAACGCATTATTTTCGCTGAACTATATTCAGCTGCGTAGTAAAAGGGCGTGATGGTGGTCTGTAGCTTTGGTTTACTGCATATTTTGAGAGGCTATGGATAGAACGCAAAGTAATGGAGGCCCCACTGGATTGCATAGTTATAGCTAGGACGCGACGGCCCGGCTTAACGTGGAGCAACCGAAGATTGCCGGTGACGTCCCACTTCGCCAATTTCGGCGCCACGCAGGGGGGGGGGGGGGGGGGGTGTTTGGCAAGTGTACCCTTGGGGCTCATGTTAACCACCCCCCCCCCCCCTCCCCCCGTGCGCACCGCTTTGCGGTGAGAGTTTGTGGATGGCTCATAAGAACATATTAACCCACCTCTGCCCACCCGTACACGCGACTCGTGGCGCCCCACCGGCGCCCTTAGTACATCCTAGCCCCGCTCTCCTCCACTGATCCTCGGTTGCTAGGTGTTACCTCACGCCGTCACTCTCCGTAACCAGCCAATCCTGTGTGCCCGCCGTTGCAACGCGTTCTGTCGCCTAGTCCCTCGAAATAATTGGCCGGGGTGCAGGTCCGCGCTTTGGACACCCTCAGAAGCTCCTGCCGAAGGTTTTAGAGCCCTATGGACACACACGGGCTGCAGTTTTGTTCTTCAACCTACCACGCCGTTCTTTACGCGCAGTTACCACGTCACCGGGCCGTAAGAGCACGGCGTCGTCGCCCGTGCATGAACAACATGTATGCACGAGAATGAAATGGCTCAGGCTTTTTACGCGCATGGCGCACATGTCCTTCATGCACACACTAAGTGACCTGGTTTGCTTGCACCAGGGAGAGAACGTGTTTTGGGAATGATCACCCAGCAGCAAAGTGCTCATAATATTAACGTAAACGTCCCGCAAAGGATATATTATACGACCAAGTCATTTTGCAGTATATATAAAGAGCGTGTTTGGGCTCTTCGTGGACATAAAAAAATATTAATGTAACCCAACTAGATCGCCAGTAATTAATTGTCAAAATTTGTCAACAATTGACAGAGGGGGCGTCTTTGACATTTTTTTTAAAAAAAAGAAAACGCTTAAAATTATTTTATGGTATTAGAGCCTTTTAAAGTTGTTCACAGAGCGCTTGAAAAAAGTTAGTATCATGTGGACTGAAAATCTACGGCGGGAGATTGAGCGAGACATCCGACCCTCGACGGATGGGAAAACCACTGCTTTCCGCCGCGACCTCGTTTAAAATTCGTAAGTCTTGTACAAAAATCAGACGAACTTCTGATTTGTGGCTATTGCGTTTTTAGAAACGACGCCATAACATATATTTTTTCAGCGAAATTAAAAATTTGAACCTTTTTGCCTGCACGATTTGAGTTGAAATCACCCACATATATTGATAAATGCACTTCGATGACAGTGTGTTCACAGAATTTCCATTTTTGTTTTCTAAATATGCACAATTGGTGAACTTTTACTGCATCGATGAATGTCGCGGTAAACTACTGATGCAATCGAGGCACCAATAAATATGACCTATATGTAGTAAATGCGAAAATTAAGATAGGACACTTGGTATCCCGCGCAGTTACGGGGTAACTCTCAGAAGCGTGCAAAATTAAAATAAAATAGTGAATTGCGAAGCAAACGGGTTTTTATGAATATCAAAACACCGACTGATACCATAACATTCTAGCATAAAAACACAAATTTATTTGAAAAGAACTCAACTCGGCCAACCACGAAACGACTAAATCCAAAATACTTGAATAGACAAATATTTGAGTGCTGAGCTGAAGGCTACACACTGAAATACATGACACCTTTAGGGGTGTAAATCAGTTTCTCCCGGGGCTGACACGCCAAGGGTGTTTCAACAACACCCGTCAGGATGCTGAGGGACACCCTAAAAATAAGATGGTGGTAATGTTAGCAGCACCCTAGGCATAGACCAACTCATGTTTAAAAACTGGAGCGCACCTAGCTGACGCCACCGGCACCGCGCATGCAAAATGGAGTGTAGGCAAGAAGCTCGCCGTCGCCCGTAAACTAACCATTGAAATGCGATGTTGTTGGCGTCGGTGTGAGTCCCCGTGCTCTTTTTTCGCGTTGGAATTGCTGACTCTACGTCTTCCTGGCAATGTCTGACTGTTGAGCGACCTCAGCGAAATTAGCGATGCTCGTTACACTGCAGAAGTTCACGTGCATATTGTGACATGTGGCGAATCATTCCGCGTGTACGCCACAGAATGGACGCTAAAGCCTGATTCGCACAATGAGACTCCACTCGTAATTTTCAGTCGCGACGTCGCTCGGGATGCAAAAGCGTGAACCGTGGCTGGGATGGTCGACGTTAGTACTGAAATTCGCAGGCAGAATCGGACCAAGTGAATCAGGCAGAACAAGTCGGTGATGGCCGCTGTTAGCAATGATCAACACCTCATTGCGTCTACTGTTTACACCGAGCCTGCTTAACCCAACCAACCTTCAAACTTAAAAGTCTTTTTCGGCCTGCACTTACTTCTTATCGCAATTAACGTGCCAACGTTTGGTCTACGGGCCGGTGTCGTCTGAAAGAGTGGACATCAAGCAGACACGTTTGAAAGAGCAGACGGCAGTTCAAGCGATCAGGCGGCCGTTTGAACTTGAAGACGCACAGAACGTAGTCCGCAGGTGGTCCGTACAACTTGACGGTTTTCCCCTGTTCATGCTGGAACAAGACAAATAAATCTGACGACGGCAAGTATCCGTGAATTCAACCCAAAGTGCTTCCCGCCCAAGCAGTCGTGGTCCGACGGCGTCT